AACCATCTCACCAGCAAGAGCTGGGATCATCTTAAAAAAATATTCCAGAACACAGTAGTAAAGAAGTTATTTACTGTCAACTAAAGGACTATAGCTTTTACTGCTTGTTTGTATATTACATTTGGGGCTTCTTATGGAGTAAGGCCTGAATGAGACAGCACACAGAAATAAGATTTTAGTTATGATAGGAGTGTATGGACCATAGGGGTTCAAACTTTGAGACCTAGAATTGAGATAATTTCTGCAGTGAGATATGAGAGTTTAGAAAAGTGATCTGATCTATCTGCATTTAATTAATCTGAGTTTTTATCCTCATTACTAGTTCAGAGCTAATGAATCTCTGCCCTGACAACTTCCTAACACAGCACCGAAGCTTAGAGAGTAACACTGAGTACACTGTAAAAAACTCGTGCAGTTCTATAAGGTTGAACCACATGGAATTGCCATACTCGTCTTGTTTTTAATCTATGAAACTGGCAATTTTAAACAAATGTTCTGGAAATATGGATTATTTTTAAATAAAACTTAGAAATATGATGTTAATCACATCTAGCATTGAGATTTGTGTCCTCTACCTTCTCCTACATTGATGATCCTGAAAATATTGTCTGCTTCATCCTCAGATACATGAATCTGAGGAAAAAATTATCAACATTTTTGAAGAAAATCATATCCAAATTAGCTTAAAGGGATCAGATTTTACATTGAAACCACAGATGAGTATCAACTGACTGATACAGAGACAGAAAAATGGAAATAGTTGCTTGCTTTTCTCTTATTATTACAACTTTATTAACTAATGAAGCAGACCGGAACATTGCAAAGAGCTGTATCTTCCAAATCTGATTCTCATCTTAGCTTTACTATGAACGGGCCATAAAAATCACAGGTGTAGTTTATTGGGGCCCCAGGGCATTAGAACTACAGTCTTGAAGATCCTGCTCTGCACTAATATTCTCTGACCTGTATTACTAACGAGCCACAACCATTGAGTGATCATAAAGGGAAAGAAAACACTAAGGGCTCCCCAGCAGATCACGCAGTCATATTAAAATTAAAATGAGTCCATCCTGTAGAAGCTCAAAAATACTGTAATTTTTCATGGGAAATCAAGAGTTAGTCCAAGCAAAATTTTAAGTGATGGTGTCCTGAGATCAGAATGGAAGCCAATGAAAATGAAATACAGGAAAAATGAAAAAAAATAGTATTGGTCTAAAACACACAAAAACAATAGATTGCTAAAACGGTGTCAACCGATTCCTGTAAAGCTATCTTAAGAGTTAATGTCCCTTGAAAACATGAAGGTAAGGTATTTAGTTCAAAATGTGTCCAGTTTGTTCTCCCATTGGATTCTGGCCTCTATAAATATAATGTCTGTGTTTATTCCACTGTGAGCAAATCAACTAAAATCATACTTATTTATAAATGGTGAAAAATCCATTTATACCTGTAACAGTTTGATTCACAAAAACTCAGTGTAAATTTAATCCTTCATAAAGCCTATGATCATGAAGGTAACTGGGCAGGAATTTTTGAAAAAGGGTAACCATGCACAAATGAAAATCAAGCAGAGAGAACACACGTAGTGAGTATCTAATAGAAGTAATTAAACTGAAAATATGGTATTCCCACCTTGTAGAAAGTGTATTCCCTTCCCACTAATTTTCCCTCTACTATAAAGAAAAGCACAGAATTGATTCCTTACCAGCATAAACTTGGCACTATATTTTTGGAAGGAAAATCATAGGCTATTGTAGGCATTTCCAAGCTGATTTATTCTTTTCATATGATTGCCAGGGCACTTAATTTCTCTTTTTCTTTGTCTAGTTTTTCATGCTCTCTCTGGGAGATATGCATGAAATAAAAGAGCTGGAAAAAACTCAGCTGAAGAATACAGCAACCGGAGAATTTATATAGATGCATATCAATCATTGGAGAGCCATGTATTTATAATATAACAGAGGCAAAATTAGACTAAATGTCTATATTTTGCAAAGATTTAATCTTACAGTCTGTTAGATTTCCATAGAAAGTTATTACATGCAAAGTTAGATTTTATAAGACTGAGATAGCAACTCAAAATCATGCAATGATACTTTAAATGAACACCCCAGGTAATTATGAGGCTAGTCATTCTTCACCATATATAAGTAGTTACACATGCAAAAAAGTGACAATATATCTCTCAAATCTTTTGGGCTTTTTAAAATAACACAATTTTAAGATACATTTTCTTCTTTGGTGAAATAGATTGCTTTATGGAATAATAATTAGAAAATAATCTCTCTCTAAATAATGCCAGCCAGTCAGATAATAAACACTGGATCACTGATCATTTGCAGATACCAGGCAATGTATTCTCATGTATGCCATGTAAACAAACACAAATAGCACATGTCCTCCACTGACCGAGGTAGATCCTCCTGGCTTGTAAAGCCTATAGAACTATGACACCAAGCTATTCCCCTTATTGTATGATCTACAGAAGCTGTTTAAAATTGTCCCAATTTACATGATGCTGAGAATAAATTTCCAGAGCTTTCTTAAAATTCAAAAGGTGTTCTAGCTATGAATGAATTCATCACTAAATTGTAAACCTATGGGAAGGCAGGACTCCATCTTTCTCATGTCTATCCTTAATGCTTTCACTTAACATATTTTCATTGCTAGTTTGTTATATGAATCAAGTCAATTATTCCAGTCTTAGATGATAATGGGGTTGCATCATTAACCACTTCTTGAGTCTAGAAGGGCATGCCTAACCTTCTGGGACAAAAGAAATCTCTAGTATCTCTCCACTTTAGACCACACATATTAGCATCCAAATATTCCTATTAAAAATTCTGAGCCTTAAGAAACAATGAAGAAAGAGCCACTCATTTATCTGGAATAAGACCTGCAAAATAAAGTGAATGGGCCAAAACTGGCCCATTGGTAAGGAATGTAGTTTACATTTTTAAAGGGTGAGAAAATTCAAAGAAGAAGAATATTTCATGATGTGAAAACTTTATATATAGTACTAATGTTTATATATAGAATATAAATTTTAAGTTTCAGTGACCGTAAAGTAGAGCTTTGCTGCAACAGCCACTCTCATTTGTTTCCATATCGGCTATTGTGGCTTCTGTGCTCCAAGGGCAGGCCGGGACAGCTGCGAGAGTATATGGACCACAGAGCCTACGGTATTTACTATTGGTGTGTTATAGAAAAAAATTGCCAACCCTAAGCTAGAGGTCAGACTTTTTAAACCATACTATTTAATAGGTATTGATTTGGCCTGACAGTACTTTTCCTGGTGACTAGAAAGAAGATCAAAAAGAGGACTACAGAGCAACTAGATCAGCATGATATGCTACTGTGCCATTCTTCTGAGGTCATTTTGGTGGACCCAAACATTTCCAGAATGAACGGGAGGCAATTTGGGAGAGTTTCTTAATACCATAACATGCACATATTGGGGAAGGCTCTTATCCCCCCTGGGTTTGCAAGTGGTATTACAGGTCTGTTTCTTTCATCCCTGTTGTATGATTTTGTAAGAACTAAATCAATTGTTCACTTGAGTATATCAACAAATATTTTCATCTGATATCCTAAAAAAATATAAGGAATTGGCAATGAGAATTTTGTCTGCAGCTTTGAGTTCAAATTCTGGTTTGGAATATTCCCAAGAAATCTCGTGATTAACCTTAAGACGCAGCCTTACTTAAAACCTTAAAATTATGATTTGCAAAACTTTCATGCTAAAAGTAAATGGTGAGATCCCTTCCAGGTACAAAGGTTCTTAAACATTCAAGAGCCTGAAGTCCTTTAAAACAGCACATCTTTTCCATCCCTCCTCTGCCCACCACACGCCCCGTAGCCAACAAGGCTTAAAGGATGTAGCCTGCCTATGAGATGCAGGCCAACATCCTCAACTGCATTTATGTTCATTAAAAAAAGTACAATGAGCCCTCTTTATTATACTCTCCATAGCTCTTTCTATAGTAGCTAATAATATATGAGAGAAATTTATGTGTTGTTTGTTTACATTTCTACTATATAATCTTTGCCTTAGGCAAGGCTGTTTTGGTTTCATTTATTTTTTGCCTGAAGAGTAAAGTCAAATGTTTTAATTACTCAAGTAGGCCCCAAAATGTATACACTTTACACATACTACAGAAACTCTGGCAATATTTTCAGCCCAGACATTGTATTTTAATTAAGCTAAAAAGTGATTTTTCTTAACCACAGAGGGCTAAGTATAAGTAGAGTCCTGACTCATCAATTTCCCTTCTGGTTAGTCATAAAACAGTTAATATCATCCAAGATCCAAGAGTCAAGGTAAAAAATAATATATAAAGGTTGTATGTATTATATGGTTCCAAAACCTGGCCCAATTTAAGCAAAAATGTATTGCTGGAAGACAACCTAGAACAGGGGTGCTAATATATGGCAATATGATGCTTCTTTGCTCTTCTGCATGCAGACATTTCCCCAAGGAACATGCACTGGGTCTCAGAATCATTCCCAACACAGCACTCAAGGAAGTCACTTACTGGTAAAACATATACATTATCCATACTCTATAATGGTTTTTCCCATATGTTGTTTGTGTATATTCCAGGAAACGTACAAGATAACCCATTGGTATGAGGGAAAATTACAAGTTTTGAAATATACACATTATTACTTGAATAGAACTACGTACTCAACATTCTTATATTGATAGATGTGTATGAATTGGGGTAGAGAGATGAGAACTCTGTTAGTGTGAGTCTCTTTGTAATTCAGCTGAAATAATTTGGATTCAATTTCAGAATACAGGCGGAACTTCTGAAAGGAAAGATTATGATAATAAACACCGAAGAATCTTGAAACTGAAAAAGGTGCCCCACATTAGCTCATCTGAACCTATTATTTCCTGCTGTCTCCCAACCTCATCTTCTGCATCACCCACCAATCACCCCAATGTGACATTACTCTTACTAATGCCTCCCAAAATGACACATGGACACACTCACTGTTTCTGAAGTAAATGCTGGTGCTGCTGTTGCTGCTGCTGCCTGTATGTTTCAATCGTGTGCTGAGGAAGGTACTGCATGAGCTCCAGGGATTCTTTGATCTTCAACAGCATTTCATATGTCTCACGGCCCCTCACCTAGGTAAATAGGCAGAAGGAGAGAAGGAAAAATGAAGATCTCTAGAACTCTCGGGACGGCCAATCCTCATTTTTCACAAGCTTTGTGTTGGTGAATTCTGCTACTTGTGAACATTTATTTGTAACACGACAATCAATATCCCGCAGCACTTGGTGGTCATTTGCAGATATGAGCAGAGTGACAAAAATTTGAGCTTCCCATGCATGTTCCAGCTGAGGTTGAACTTGACAAGGCTCTACCTTTTTTTTCCAGTGCTTGTGCTGTGAACATGCATCCTTTCTGCTATTTAGTGCCACATTTTCCACTTTTTTTTTTTTTTTTTTTGGTTTTTGGTGGTGAATTTGCTATTTAAAGTGGTCCTGAGTGTGTGCTGAAGTACTGTCTAGTTTTTTGAGCATTAAGAAGGCTGCGATGTATGTGCCTTATGAAGTAAATACAGGTTAGATAAGTTTCATTTGGGCATGAATATAGTGCTATTTGTTGTGAGTTCAATGTTAACGAGTCAACAGCATATATTAAATAAGATGCCTTTAAACAGAAACATGCATAAAACAAGGTCATATATTGATCAGTTGCTGAAAGTGCTTTGACCAGAGGCTCATAGAAACCTAATCCTGTATTTCCCCTAGGAGCAATGAATGGCCCAGTATTTGCTAGTACAGTGTTTGCAGAGACTTTTTAAAGCATAACTATCACAAATAATGAAAATTACCTGTAACTACCTCTGGAAGGGCAGAAATTTTCAGCTGGGGTAAAATGTGTTTCTCTCTTTAAGACAGCCTCTTAAAAGCTTTAAAAAGTATGACCAGCGCCAGGACTAGAGAGATGCCACCAGGGTACGTTGGGCTCATTGGGAATGAGTGTGTGCCTATTTAAATGTTGCACCCTAGGCACTTCGCTTGCCTCATCCCAGTCCCCACCCATGATATGACCGCCAGAATTTGTCGGAATTCAAAAGGATTTCCTCTGCCTTTTGCTGTATTAACTCCTACGCATCCAGCTCTGGGGTCACCTTCACTGAGAAGCTTTTCCTGATCTCACTCTTGTAGGCTGAGTCTTCAGTCCCTCCTATGTGCTCCCACAATGCCATGCTTAGCTCTGCTGACACGATTATTTCATAACATTATACCTAGTTGTGTCCTCACTAGAAGGCAAACTCTCTGATCTCTAAATGCTTGAGGTCTAGTATAATTGCTACTCAATGAATACCAATCATATTCACGTTATATTAAGAGTTTCTTTTTCTTCACACACTTAGATGTGACTAATTATTTTTTAAAAATTTATTTTTCAATTATAGTTGATATACAACAGTATATTAGTTTCAGGTATACAACTGAGTGATTAGACATTTATATAACTTCCTAAGTAATCACCCTGATTAGTCTTGTACCCTTCTGACACCATACATAGTTATTGTAATATTCCCCACACTGCACTTTATATCCTCATGACTGTTCTTATAACTGGAAAATTGCACTTTTTAATCTTTCACCTTTATCATCCATCATCCTCACCCCTTCCCCCAATCTGGTGACCATCAATTTGTTCTCTGTATTTATGAGTCTATTTCTGTTTTGTGCATTCATTTATTTTATTTTTTAGATTTCACATGTAAGTGAAATCATATGGTTTGACTAATTTTTCACTAAACATAAGATGTAACTGACTACAGGTTACCTCCCTTCACTAGTACAAACTGAAATTTCATTTAAAAAGAGCTTTTCCAGTGATTCCTATGTCAGAAGCTAAAAACATACTAGTTTTTTGGTATTACAGTTGACACTCGAACAACATGGGTTTGAATTAAGTAAGTCAGCTTACACCCAAGCTTTTATTTCAATAAATGTGCAGCTGGCCCTCCATATCCCTGGGTTTCTCATGCATGGATTCAACCAACATGTGATGGAAAACAGTATTTTTGATCCGTGGTTGGGAATCCCTGGATGTGGAGGGCAGACTCTATGCATTGTTCTATGCCATTTCACATAAAGGACTTGAGAATCATAGGATTTTAGTATCTGTGGGTGAGGGGAGGGATGACTGTATTTAGTATGTCAGGATAATGTTTAACTTAAAGTTTACAGGTCATGTTCTATATGTAGCCTGAGAAACATGACACTGAGAATCTTAACTATCTCACTGCCTGATTGTTCTACCAGCAACCAGTCTACCTCCCTGATGGTCAGGACACAAAGAAGGTGGAGAACAGGTATGGCACACCCAAACCTGTTGAGTTGCTTTAGCTTCAATCCCAGGGTGGCAGCTCGCAGTCAAATCTGGCCATGATTGTCTGTGTCTCATGTCAGGTTAGACAGCATCAAGGGCTATATACTGGTTACCAAAACTTTGCTGCCACTCTAGCTGCAAAATACCTAAGGGAATAAGATTTCAACAAACTGCAGCCACAGACTAAAACAGGTACCCTAGGGATCTTGAGAGGACTAATGTTCCTTCTTGGAATGAACAATGCTCTTGCACAACGATTGGGCTAAGTCTTCTGGCCTTTCACATATAACTGGGGATTCTGCCTTGCTTGTCTTTCTTTATAGCACTCTGTAAAAGAAATCACAGTCAATTCTCTATAAATGTTGTATGATTGGCTTTGTGAACTCCTTCTGACAAAATTTTAGTCCTAAATTGGTTTGGCCATTTTGTCTAGGATAATCTTATCATGCTTAAATAATGAAGTGCAAATTAATTTTAAATATTTGAGTAAGAAAAATTCTATTAGGAGAGTAGCTTTGACAGGGTGAGCAGAGGAGCTCATACTATTAATATATTTCAAGACTATCGAGTGAAGGGATTATTTCCTGATTTCTCTGTCTTATCTCACTAACCCCCATTACCCCATTTGCACTGTCACAATAATCAGAAAATGACCACAGAGTAAGAAAAAGAAGGTGAAAATGAAGCAATCATGAATGCCCAAGGGAGACTCACTGGTAAGTATAACAGTTCATCATCTGGGGATCTTCGTTTCTTGATGGATGTCATCTGGATGCCATGTGTGTTCTGACGAAAAGCTGGTGGAGGAAAAGTGCAAGTTTCATCCTGGGATCATTTCAGAAGCAATAATACATTTCCTAAACAGACAACATCACCAGCCATATCTGCGTGATTAGATTTTCTAGTTCTGAGCACCCATTTAATTGGTGATGATTGCATTTACATTAAATACAAACCTAACAATAACGAAGTGGGGGATAACTGAGGCAGAACAAATGAAAGGAAGAATTTTGGGATGCTAGGAAATGGCCTGTGGCTTAAATCTTGCTGCAGGAATCCCTGTGTCTTACTGGCCTGTGTCTGTGAACAGCTGTTAAAGAAAGGAAGATAAATTGGTTCTGTGCTGTATTTTTCAGGTCATTTATCTTCCAAGGTGGTAAATGCATGTTGTAGAGGTTGTCTTGCCAATGCATTCAGCCCTGTGCTTTCATCCTCTCCAGGATAGTATATGCATTACATAACTTCTGACAAGCAGGCTCACTTTCCAGAACCTCAGTTTTTTCTTCAGTAAGTTAAGCTCATACACCCCTGTGGCTTCCAAAACTAGAAACTACATCCAGGATCCAGGGTATAGAGATGATCCTTTCCCCAAAGTTCAGATAATCCATTCTTACTGATATTCATTATTTTGTAAGGCAGCTGAGGTACTAAGGAAACATTATAGGAAGTAGGCCACCAGGCAGCCTCAAGAGCAAAATTAGGGTGGAAATATAATTATATTTATGTTCTTTATATCATCGTATTATATTTAAAATTAATTTATATAATTCATATCCTATGCACATGTAAGGTATTCATATATGAACTTTTGAGGAATAATCAGAGAGAGAAAGAGCCTAATAGGAAGCACAAATCATAATGAACAGATAGAATTTGACAATGACTACATACCATAACATTCCATGGTTCTCCTGTAAAATACAGTATAATTTCTATTTCTTCTGGACACAAATTAGTAATAAAATTAAAAGTCTTTCATGAAATAAGTTACGGTATGGCATGCTTTACAATATTTGTTGTAGTGATATCAGACTTATGCAAGACACCTTCTAGAAACAATCTCCATAGTCAGGGGCCTGTGTGGATCAGTGGTTTTCACCCTTTGTTATCTGAGGGCTGGGCCTTGGCGGGGTGGGGGTGGTGGTGCCTGCGGGTGACTGCAAGTAGAGCAGGGGCCAGAGACCACCCCCAGCTCCTGTTCCCTTCAACTAGAGCCCCTCTGCTTTCTTCCATTTTTCATTGCGGGTTCCTTGAAATACTCCATTTCTGAAAAAGCTTGTCTGCTTGACAAAACAAGTTTGAAAACAACTGACCCAGATTATTAGCCTCACTATTGGTAGGATAACTGAGGTCTCAAAGTCAAGACTCAGTGAAACCCAGAACTGTATAATCTCCAGACCGTGCTCTACAAAATGTGTTCTTACATCTCAATGTCCCCACAGACTCATGAGGTTGGCAGATGTATTTTCAGCCCTTGTGCCCCGTAACAGAAGATGAAGTGGTATCAATAGACTAAGATATTGAATCTCAAACTTTAGCTGGCATTACAGTCACATGGAAGGCTTACTAAACACAGATTGCTGGGCCTCAAACCCAGAATTTCTGATTTAGCAAGTCTTGAAAGTAAAAATTTGCATTTCTCTCCAGTTGTCAGATGAAGCTGATGTTATTGATCTGGGAGTCTCATTTTGAGAGTTGCTGGACTAAGAAATCCTGACAACGCCTGTTTGTTTGTTTGGGTGTTTTTTTGTTTGTTTTTGTTTGTTTTTTTTTTGTTTTTTTGTTTTTTGGTCAAACTGTAATGCACATTTCAAGTCCATCTGAACACCTCCATCCATGTGAGAGCCATTCCCACTGCCCTGGCCCTCACGTCACACTTGCTTCTAGAGTCCTTTGGTCCTATACCAAAGCTTCTCAAATACCATGCCCTGGCCCCTATATCTGGATGTAGACTTAACTCTACTCCATTGGCCACTACAGCTACTTACGGCGCTTCGTACCATCACCGTTCTTTGTGCTGTCCGAGACCTGCTGCTTTCTGATGCTGTCTTCATCCGCCTTCCGGTCTCTCCCTGGGCAAGCACAGATCCGGGCCTCAAAGCAGCGGCGGCCCAGGACTTGCCCACTAGGAAGGAGAGAAGAGGACAGGACAGGGTCAAATGAAAAGAATTTCAGAAGTCCCCTGAAGTTCTTCCATTTCCACTGCTGGTCATCACCAGTCCGTCACCGCCACCAGTTCAGTCATGGCTGCTTGGAGGATGCACCCCAAAGCACTTGGCAGCACACAAAAGTGCTTACATGCCACAAGCAATATTAGTAAATAACATTCCACTTGTTCTGCCAAGATCCTCCAAGCCATTAGCTGAACAGCTGTATTTAGCTACATATTTTGAAGGAAACTCGAATTAAGCCAGTGGATGTCTCTGGATAAAACCCCCTTAGGCAGCCCAGACTTACTCAAAGAAGCTGTTAAATGCCTTGGAGGCCACATGAAAACAAACACTGTCTAATCAGAAACTATGCCAGTTAAATGTCAAGAATTCAGGTATGAAGCGACTTGCATGCCTTCCCTCTTTTTTCCCTCCTTCTATGTTTACCCACCCTGTTTTGTCTCCACTTTCTTAGATCTTTTATGTAAGTATTTGCAGCAAGGATTTAAAGCACAAAGGATAAAATCAAGGGTAGCTCTCTGCTATACATGCAAAAGTAATGATAAAGCAAACACAATTTCACTTTGCCCTCTTCCCATGGTTTCTGCAGAACGACAATTCTGCATATGCCACTTACTCTCTGGTTTCCAGAGTAACAATGATTAAAATTGGACGGCGGTTCATCCCTCCAACACAACTGCTGTTACACATGAAATTGTACAAGACTGTTGTGAATTCAGTGCCAACCTGAACACGGGAAAAGAGTCTGTGTTAACAATAATTCAACCTAACGTTCTTCCTTTTCAGTTCTTCCTCTATTTAAATACATAACTCTACTTCTGAGAAGTGATTTTTTTTTCTAGGAACACAATCTCTAAAACACATTGTAGTTGCTCACCTCTTGGGAAGCTGAAAGTTAATATTTGCAACATTGCCTTTTAAAAGTATCATCTTTGACCCAATTCATTTGCAAGCTGATATGTATCACCCAATTTAAACAGTGTTCACACCATATATGCATATCACTGTAAAGGTAGAACTGAAAACATTACCAAAAATAGCAACAATGCTCCATGAATATTTTCCCTAGGTGGATAAAACAGCATAACATAGATTTGAAGATACACTTCCATAAAAAAACACTCTGGAGCTTCAACGGTCCACAGCATTAAATCTTCTAGTGCAATTATGGATAGAGCACAACTGAAGTCCAGAGAGGAGGAGTCGTAGTAAAGGTTCACACAGCAAACCAGCAACAAAGACTCTGTTCTCCCTATGCCAGTGCACTGCTTTTCTAGTCTGCCACCTGTTCATTCAAACTTTGACTAAGAGATCCGTCACCCATCCAGTACTGGGACACGTTTACTTCCACTTCAGTTCTCTGGATAAGATAAGGTTGCTCTTAAGGGTTCAGCCTTTCAAATGGGAACACAGTGGGGGTTTTTTGTTTGTTTGTTATTTGTTTTTTAGAGAGAGGGGAAGAGAGGGAAAGAGAGAAACATCAATGTGTGAGAGATACGTCACAACTGGTTGCCTCTCCCACACCCCCAGCTGGGAGCCTGGCCCACAACCTAGGAATGTGCCCTGACTGGGAATTGAACTGGTGACCTTTTGATTCATAGGCCAGCACTCAATCCACTGAACCACACCAGCGAGGGCAAATTTAGGAGTTTTGAAGAAGATAGAGAAATGATGTGTAGACAAGAGGGAGAGAAGAGAGACAAAAAAGTTGCATATTTGAAAACAAGGACTAAGACAGAATTAGATTCTGGAAACATCCTCTATCACTGAAATGAATCCTCTCCCAACCCAGCACAGTCCTTATCTTTTTACCTGGGGTGGCTCATAAGGTACCAGCACACTCTGTCTTCCTGTGATGGGGTCTTCTACATATTGGGCATGGCTGTTCCCTTCCACTCGAATCAAATGACTAGGAGGGGCAATCTGTCCTGCAGAATAGAAAAAGGCAAAATAGTTAGTTCTTCACCCTCAAAATAAAGAAAACAAAATGAAACAGCATAGACAGAATACTGGGGGCCAAAGCAATGGTTTAATAGAGAAAATATATATCCTTTAAAAAAGGAAGAGATCCTGTTGCAGACATCTAATGCATGAAGGTGTCACAACCTTTATTGCAACAGAAAGGACTGAAACACTCATATATATTCAAGGGAACAGCCCCATGTTTCTGGTGTGTAAGGTTAATAATTCAAGATTTTAGAGAACTCTATGAATATCTCTTTGACTGGATCTCAAGATTTTGCTAGCTTATGGAAAACAGAAGGAAAGGAAACAAATTAATTTTAAAAAACCAGCTTGGGACCAGCAAAAATAATAAGATGCAACAGATGGCAAGAACATCACTTTCTCTTTGCCTATTATTTTCTTCATCATAAAGTCTCCAACTTTAGACCTGGCTTTGGTCATGTAGATGAGAAACTTACTGGTTTTGTTGTGCTGAAAGACCCCAAGTTTAGAGAATAAGAAAGGGGAAGCATTTTTTTTTTTTAAAGATTGTAGGCAAAGTTTCACAAAATTATTGGACTGGGCTCCAAAAGAAAGAAGCTGATCCAAGAATTGGGAACCATAAAGGTTGTTTTTAACCTTTGACCATGTATTATCATTTCATAAAAAATGGTATTTAATAACAGTGAAAAGCTAAGTGTGTCAAGATGCCCTCTGAAACATCATCTATTATGGCAAAAATTACAAACAGCTATTATGCCAAACACTGAGAAAAAAAATAAGCAGTTATGTCACCTTGATGGATCAAGGGCAGTTATAAAAACGTATAATAAAGTTTAGTTTTAGGAAATAATCTTCATGGCATATTGTTAAGTGAAAAGCAAGATGCAAAGGTATGGATGAATAAGTAGGCCCTGTAGAAAAGGTCTAGAAATTAATGTTAAAAATGAGCTGTGTTAAAGTAGAAGCATTTAAACCTCATTTTTCTCATTTGAAATTTTTATCCTCTCTTTTTCTTCTTGCATTAATTTTTCTCTACCATCTCTTATATTCGCTACATTGATACACTCTAGCTACCAATTAATCTTCCCATTTTAAATGTATTTCCTATAGAAAGTGTCCTAACTCCCGACCCGCCTGCACCCTCATCACTCTTTGATGAATCCTTTACATTCTCCCATCCCTCCTTTCCACTTTTTTCGGTTCTTAGACTTCCTTCTCAGAATATAAAACCTTCCTTAGAATATAAAACCTCAGGGAACCCTTGGAAACACTGAGCTCTCCTGTAAAGCAACTGTTGGATTTGTGGCTCCGAACACAGGCAACAGACCTTAAAGGTGGCCACAAGGTATCTGTTCCTTGACGCCCAGTCCTACACTTTACTGTCCCCTTCCCTGGCTTACATTGCAGATTTCTATTTACTCCTCTTGCCTATTATACGTCTTCTCTTATTTTTCTTCTCTCTCACTTTTCCATTTTTTCATATTGTTCACCTTTTATGCTCCTTCCTATTACCCTTCTCGCTCTCAATTGGTCAGACCTTGACAATCCCTCTGGGAAAGGCACAAAAGCTGGATTCTCTGGCCTGCACTGAATAAGCCAAATGACCAAATGCCACATTTTTCTCCTTACACCTCTAATAGGAAAAAGAGAGGCAGGTCCAGGCTATCCAGTCATTACGAACATTAATTAAATAGTTCAATCAGTATGAGTCACTGTGAAAGCCACAAATGTATTGATCATTAGTCTCAGACACTCTCTCAGCCATAAGAGGTAGACTGAGCTGCCATCAGATTGCAGAGGCTGGAACCAGGTAAGGGGGCTCCAAACAGAAAGTCTTCACAGCACCTCTATTTTCCAGGAGTTTAGTTGTATAGCCACAGAATCCTCTCCTCCTTACCCTCATTGAATTCACGGCTCAGCTCATGGTTGGGGCACCGTTTCACCACCTCGGTCACATGCTCAGCTTTCTTGTAGACGGGCATGGCGCGGATGACAGCGCCCTGAGGAGGTGGGGTCATCACCTTGATCTGGATGGGGCACGTCTTGGCAATTTGGCAGTAGAGTTTCTTCAGTTCAGTGGAATACTGCTTAGAGAGGGGCGGATGATGAAGGAGAGAACCAAGAGAAGATATCGTTACACCCCAAATCAGAGCAAGGGAAGTATGTCCACCTTTCACAGCTTTTATAGCTACATGTTTACCATTGGCTACTATATACATGACAGTGAGCAATCTTAACAGAGTTACATTCATTAATCAGACTAATAATTTTTCTACTTTAAATAAAATCCGATGTTTATTAAAAAGGTTTCACATTTTTCAAAACACACTTATAGCATTAGTTCCTCTCTTTAGGATGAAGGAAATGGACCTCGGAGGGGTTTAAATGATTGATGCCATGAGCAGCTTTACAGTGAACCAGAAACTAAATGGAAAAATAATGTTTACATGAATTGAATGATATTAAACAGATTATAATAAATCCTGCCCTTACAACACTCTAGAAAGACTCACGGGAATTCGGATTTATGGAAAACATTTTTAAGATGAAATGTCTGGCAGAGAGTGAGGAGGTTTTACCCAAAGTTAAGTAGCTAGAAAACAGCAAAGCAGAAGCATCACTGAACTGCCACCCTTATCTTCTAATAACACAGCCTAAGAGAATACAAAATCTGGAAGCGGCCAATTGATCTGCATGGAAGAAAAAAAAAAAAAAAGAACAGGCTTAAATGCAACACAGTAAATCATGGCAGAAAAGGATCAAGATGGAGACTTTTTCATCCACAAGTGAGTGGAACCTTTCCTGACCACACTTCCTTCTGCAGGGAGAGGAATTTCAGTGGTTGGTTATTTGGTGTTTGGTTGGTTATAGAATTGGCAAAATAGGATGGAGAAAGCATGAGACCTAGAACTGATTAGGAAAAAAAAAAAAAGAAGGGGGGAGTCCTATCCTGTGTTGCTTTCTCTTTCCACCTCTGAACCGGTACAGAAAGTCTCCATTCCAGTCCCTACACTGTATTAATCCTTAACACCCCTGTTCACTGGGTCAGTCCCCCATCACTGCAATTCTACTCTCTCTGATGCTGGAGTGAAACCACCCAGGCACTAGAATTGCCAGCCAAGAGTGGAGCACCTAGTAACACTTACCCAAACAAGGGTAAACACACACACACGCGCACAAGTTGTAATCATAAGTGGGAACAACATCCTTCCAGGGGAAAGACATGGGGAAACAGGAACCAAAGGGGCAGAGTGTCATTATTTATATGTTCCAGCCCAACACTAACTAAAGGCAGAAAGCACATTTAAAAGTGCTTTATCTCCTCCTCTATGAAATACAATATGTATTTAAATAATCCTTCTTTGTATCCCAAGTATTTCAGCATATGAAATTTTCAGTTAAAAACTTCCTAGTATTAAAAGTATATTGCATAATCAGTTCTCCATGCCTGCAGGTTAAGGATTAAATGCAATGAAAGGGTTTTAGATAGCTTGAAGAAATAGGAAGTATGCCAAAAAAAATCAGCCAGAGAAATAAAATTGTGCTTGGGAAGCACTGATTGAAATCTAGGTGGATATTTTTCCTCTAGTGTTTTTAACCAATTGCTTTAAAAACAAAGACATTGTCTTAGGATGTATTAAAAATGCACTTTTACTGAGAATTCCAAGAAAATAAGATGTATTTTTATTTGTAATCTAACCATGAGTTTCATAAGATGCACCTTAGGAAAGATGGCTGAAAAGCAAGTCTGTCAGCTAACACCTGAAGGCAAATAAGGCATCCATCCAAGTATGTAGATTGGAAAAAAAAAAAAAAAGAATGATAAGTGTTTAGAGGAGGACAGTTAAGAGAAACATTCCACTTCAATAATTGATATACTATATATCAAACTTGACAGACTAAAGTACAGATTACTAAGAATAAATTTAGGCCTCATCAGGTGTTAATCCTCACTTGTCCTCAGGGATGGGAGAAGGGAATCTAAATTTTGAGCTTAAATAATAATAAATAAGAACAGCTTCTCCATTTTCTGAATTCTCTTGTGAGAAATTTAATCTTCACATAACCCTTTGAGGAAGGTATTATAGGTATATGATCTCTTATCTGAAAACCCTGGGGCCAGATGTTTTGGAATTCAGAATTGTTTAGATTTTAGAAAGGGGGTGAAGTTTATATTGCATATGTTATAAACAGCTTCAGCAGGATTTAGGGCAATGCCACATAACCAAACCTTAACATTTCTGCCAAATTCATGAATATGCATATCATCTGGGAAAAGACTATAAAGCCTTAAATTCAGGCTGGATTTTACCACCAAATGAGTTTGGCACAAACTTATGGAATTAAAACAAAACCAACATTGGTTTTCAGAGCTCTTTGGATTTCAGAATTGCAGATAACAGATAATGGATCAGTATTTTAGACCCACTTTACAGATTAGAAAATTAAGGCATAGAGAATCCTTGTCTGAGGTCATAGAGAAGAGCTGGTTAGCAACCAGTGTAAAGGGTCTGTCCTTGTCAGGTAACAGTCCCTCATCTCTCTATTCTCTAGACTTAAGGGTGCAAATTTTTGTACCTACACATTTTTCTAATTCCCCAAAACACAGCTATTTTTTAAAAACTCAACTTAAAGGTATACAATCTTCTTTAACATTAAAATGGAATTCAAAAATTGTCTAACATCAATAATTCTTTATTTCTCAGTATCATACTTTTTGCTCATTTAATTGCAGGGAGAGGCAGTAACTGCTAGAGGTTAAAAAACCCTGGAAGCCACCTTGAACCCTCCTAACATTACCAGCTGTCTGCTGGGACCTCTATTACAATGCTAGGGAAGTCACAAGGGAGGTTCTGCTCTTTTGCATGGTTTATTAGGGCCTTTACATTCTGGCCCCATCTCTTTCATTCTTTCCCCTTTCCCCACCAAACCCACACACTTTTTACCCCATGCTCTACACACACAAACCTCTGAATACCTCAAACATACCATACATCTACCATCCACAATTCGAACATGCTTTTCCCTGTCTGGGGCATTCATGTGTTTCCTCTGTTCTCCACACCATGCCAGGACAATTTAGCTATCATTTCTCAGCTAACAATGATCTGGTACTGTAGACCATATTTTCCAATTTCAGTGATGAGGGTTTTATATTGACTACATCTAAATAGCGGACCAGAACCAAAAGACATTTGGATTATTGCTTCTGGTTAAGCTACCAGGCCTGCCAGTCAGTTACTAGACAGGTTGAAGTGGTCTGGCATGGATAATTCTTTACAAAGCCAAGCTTCTGCCACTGTATTAGCTTTACTGCTTGTTAATTGGTTCTGTGAAGATGTTTAATATTTTTCCAGTACTAAATTCAGTCTCCCTGGCCTATAGTATATTTATAATTCCTTAGACTTGCCTGCTTCCTTATTCCCTACCAAATAGCCACTATCGTCTTCATTAATTTTCCAGGCTTCTGCAAGATCACAAAAAGTGGGAATCTGATATATGCCAAGATTTTTAAATACCTTAGTAATTCAGCAGAGACTGCAAATTGGAACAGCTCTGGCTTATTTTAATGCCTCTCTCTTTCTCTCTGGGGTTTTTAACATTCATCTTTAAAATGCTCCCAACGTTGATTTGGGATTCTTTAATTCTAATGCCCAGTTTCTTCTTTTGAGTGTGTATCCTTTATTTTGTTTTAGTCAGCCTTAAGGTTTCATTTGCCATAAAGTACATCCGTTTTTGAGTGTACAAGTTGGTGACTTTAGACAACTGCACACACCTGTGAACTACTACCACAATGAAGATACAGACGTTTTCCACCCTCTCCCTCACCTCCGCCCCCCCATCAAAATTATCTTGTGCCCCTTGGGAGTTATTCCTCTCCACAACCCTTTCCTGAGCAATCAAATACCTGCTTTCTCTCACTGTGCATTTACCCTTTTAGAATTTCATAAAAATGGAGTAACACAGTATATAATCTTATGGGGTCAGGCTTCCTTCACTTAGCATATTCCATATATGCCATATTATTATTTAGTAGAATTCCTTATAATTCACTAATTATTTCCAGTTTGTATGTACTATGAATGAAACTATTATGAACATTCATCTACAAATCTTAGTGAGGATATATGTTTTAAATTTTTCTGGATAAGGACCTAGAGGTGTGATTGTGGGGTAACTGTATGCCTAACTTTATAAGAATTTGCCAAACTGTTTTACATTGCTGGTAGAGGGTTTCATGTCTTTGCCAGCACTTGGTATTGACAGCTTTAATGCCATTCCAGCAGGTATGTAGTGGTTCTCCTTGCAGTTCAAATTAGCATTTCCCAGATGATTAATGATGTTGAGCATCTTTTCATATTATTTTATATATATTTATAATTATACTTTTATATAATAAAACAATATATTTATATTTTTTGTATGTGCTAATTTGCTATTCTTTTTTGAAGCATTTGTTTAAATCTTTCATACTCCCTACTCTTTCATTCTTCTTTTTTTTTTTTGCATTTGAAATGTCCTCCACATCTCCTCTACATTCCCTGTTGCCCTCTGCTGCTCAAGACATTATTTTCTTCTTCAGCTTTATAGTTTTATTGTTTTGTACTGAAGCAATCTTTTGAACATCTTTTCCAGTTGTTAGCATGCTTTTGCTTTCTTCAGTTCATTTAAAATATGCTCCCTTATACTTAGTTTTTTTTCCTTTTTAAAAAATATAGGCTCTTAATTTGCTTCAGTAGTTTTCTATGAATATAGCAAAAGATAGCCAGAGCTAATATTTTTATCATCTATGTCTCTTTGACATATTTCAATTCAGTTCCATAAACCTTTTAAGTAATAAAATTACTATAGGATTCTGCTGATAACTTGAGAGTCCAATTTAGATAGGCTTTTTTTTTCTGGAATTCATAATATTTTAGTGGAAAGTTATGAGTGACTACATTAGAATCCGAAAATCAGTTGCCATCATAAACTAGAATTCAACATATTTATATCCCCATATGTATGTACATCATTCAATAATTATTGAATAAACATTTAATGAATACATACTACATGGTATCAGGTACTCTGTTCCATATTT